CGACAAATATGTACGAGGATAAATATCAGCTAATCATCTTTTGATTATTCCGATGACTCTTCTCAAGTGGTTACATTCAACCAGAAAAATATATATATATTACATTAAAGACTTGAGCATACTTTCTCCACAATGACAAGGAGTAACTGATGATGGGAATTAGGAGTAACATAATGTGGGAATGATGTAAGTTGTTAAATAATTAATAGTTAAAAGGATTGACTATGTATCGGATAATTAGAAGAGCAGATTTGGAAACAAAAGGACGGAATTCAACAGATTTCAGTTGGTAGAAACAAAGTTTAACCAGAAAGAGTGTAGCCTGTTGATTATTTTGAACGCCTTCAGTCAGCAGTGTCCAACAGACTTCATGTAAACTGCATTGTTCAATGTCTGTGAGCCCTTTAGTCTCAGGTTCTTTGATATGTATGTAGATTATTTTTTTATCATTTTTATTTTATTTCTTGACGTTCCCAGTGGAATATAGGGTTTCAAGCTAGAGCTTTGAAGTTTCTGTAGCAGCAATTTTTTACGATGTGGAGTTGCTAACCTCATGCTCAACCTTTCCTCTCTGATGGGTCTACTACCGGCTAGGCGAGGGTCAGGAGCGCGTCGGCCGAGGATCAAATCCCGGACCTTATACATGGTTGGCGAGCATTCTACTGCTGCACCATCGACGCACACCATATTTAGAAATGCAAGCAAAAAGCCTTCCCTCTATTCTTCTTTTAATGTAAACTGATAGACATAGTTGTAGGTAATATGTGGTGGGAGTTTGGCCACTTTTGACTGCCTCAAACAACTGGTATTTTGTTTTACAAAAATATTATTTCTGTGATAACGCAAACTATTATCTACCATACTCTTTCTGGTTAAACTTTGTTTCTACCAACTGAAATCTGTTGAATTCCGTCCTTTTGTTTCCAAATCTGCTCTTCTAATTATCCGATACATAGTCAATCCTTTTAACTATTAATTATTTAACAACTTACATCATTCCCACATTATGTTACTCCTAATTCCCATCATCAGTTACCCCTTGTCATTGTGGAGAAAGTATGCTCAAGTCTTTAATGTAATATATATATATTTTTCTGGTTGAATGTAACCACTTGAGAAGAGTCATCGGAATAATCAAAAGATGATTAGCTGATATTTATCCTCGTACATATTTGTCGTTCTTGCCATGTTCAAGTTTATTGATAAGAAGAATTGTGTGAAGATTTCGATACAGCTAAAATTTCCACTCAGACATGCAGAGGACATAAAATGAACGACTGAGCGCAAATAGAATATTCCTCTCCACTACTTCCTTTTCATCTGGCTGTACAGTTAGTTATACAAGCACACATTATATTCAAGGAGTACTAGTTATTCATAATGTTGATTTTATTCCTTGGTTAGATCAATAAAATGACAGTTCAAAAGTATGTGTAAAAGATAATATGCCTGTAAAAAAATTTATTACTAAATCGAATATCAAATCAAATTGAGAAGAAAATCTATATGGGACAAATAAAGTTAGTGCAAAATAGTGACAGCTTTTAAAATGCCTAAAGAGAATAGGAGAGTGGCAGATTTTTACAACAGATGTAAAGAGACAGTCTGCTTGAACTTCTTTCGAACACACAGATCCGCCTTCTTTCGGGAGAATGCCTTGTTAACATCAACTTTATTCTCAGAATTTAAATGTTGAGCTAAAAGTAAGTCTCAAACAAAGCCTTGCTCAGAAATTCAGAATGCTAGTCAGAAACCCAATGATGAACTTCCCTTATTGTAGGCCCGATTTAACCAGCCCCACACAAGCAGTCAAATTGTTAGGTACACATCAGAGGAAGTGGGATCAGATAGTTTATGCTTCATTCGCGAAAGTGGTTGTTAAGAGACAATGAACTTCCGTTGTATTGAATGCTCCTTTTTTCATGTCATCCTTTAAGCAGTGTGTTATTATTTACCCGGTGTTATCACCAAAGTACTAACTACAGCTTTGAAAACAAGGACTTCTTCAGACTTGTTGACATGAAGGCTTGCTTTAGCGTCAAATTCATTATCTTTTCTCTTAATTTTACCTGATAATCAATTTAGTATAACATTTTTAAGGTTTATTATCACCTTACACATGATTTTGAAGTGTAATTCTATTGTTCTTAACAACTCAATGTTATTTAAACAAGAACATCAATGCTGTCAATAAAAATTACTTTGTGTGTGCATTTGTAAGTGTATAACTGTAGAGCCAGATAAAAAGAAATTATCGAAAGGAACATTCCTTGTGTTCAATCACTGTCTTGTCTTCTGAGTATTTCTAAGGTGTTTTTCATTTCGCCTCTTTGAGTAATCATCTAAAAATTTCGCATTTCTTCGTTAAATAGAGAAATAAACAAATTTAAATAAGTAGGCGAATAATTAATTATTAATTAGGTTGTGGGTACTAAAACCCTGATTCGCCATCACACGTCTGCTCTTTTCCCTCTGAAAAAGGTGATCAACATCCCTAGTCTATCGGTTATCGATTTTATTGATTTACAGATGTACCTCTAATTGAAACGGTTAATTACATCTACGAAGAAATAAATAAAATGTCAGTAAATATTGGGATTCCAGTAGAAATCCTTAAAGAATTCTTACTAAAGTGCACTACGAATGTGAATTTTAAATTTGGGGTTGGCAATATTTTCTCCATTGTGTCCCATGTTACTACATTTATTTTTGAGGAAAGTAGAAAAATGGTTCCTTGAACAAACTTATGAGAAAACTTTCATTTTATTTCCGGCATACGGATGTTACCTGAATCCTTTGCGAAAATGATTTGGATAGGAACTCACTAATATCTCAATTCATTGAAGTATATTCAGCTGTCAAATTTACGTGTGAAGAAAGGTTCGAGAGTAAAATTACCTTTTCGACGTCCAACTGGCAAGAAGACCAGACAGTGGGATAAAAAGGAATTTGCACAAGAAAAGTACTTGAACCGGCCAATAAATACATTTTCACAGCTTTGTTCCTCCCCACTATAAAACAGGTTTCGTAAAGATCCTTGAGTACAGGATCAGAGTTATCTGTTTAGATGATGCGACTGAAGAACTTAAAGTAGTTTGTGACACGTTAACTGAAAACAGATACTCTGAAAAGTTCACCACAAAAACATGACAAAGGGAGTGTATCTGTTAACATGAAGCCTCACTATATACGACTACAATTCCAAGGTGATATACCAAGTGAAAAAATTACTAACAAGTCGACAAAATCGATCCTAACAACGTTGAATGTCGAAGGACTCTACCTTATACTTCAAACAGAACCGATTGTGATTCTGAAACTGTAAGACGAAGTGATGACTAAACTAGCCACCTCATCTTGAATCTATAAATTGAACTGCTCCTGTGGAACCAGTTATAATCCCCGCTGGTTGTTTTAGGGACCTAATTATTTGTTCTAGGGAACACCTATAAATGCATGAATTTCGTGTTACTTAATTTATCTGATATTATATTAATGCATATGATGCTTTTCGATACTACTGACTGATTCAATGTAATTTAAAACAGCATTAAAGTTGCTTGATAAGAATATTTTGTAAATTGTTACTATCATACAAATGTAGAAGTTGGTGAAGAAGAGGTTATCGAAAAGAATATTCTTTATTCGTTGATCACTCCTTAAAATCACTAATTTCACGAGCAAACCATTAAATAATAAAATACCTCATAGAATTCAATTATTTTATTGTGTGGGGGTGGAGGGAGGGCTGGTTTAATGCTGAAGAACAACAGGAAATCCCTTTTTCTACTTGTGTTTTTATTTTGCTACTTGTAATTTCTCTTTTCGTTTTTGTTGTGTAATCGAACCAAAATAGATTGATCGCTGTGGTCTGTGCGATGTGCCTATCTCTGGTCACTATAGTGTAGCTACTAGCTGATGGGAGAAAACACAATAGGAACTTGATTTCGTTTTCCTGCAGCGAGCATGTTAATTACCCAAATCACAACAAAAACAACAACAAAAATAATAATAATTTCTGCAGACAAAAACTGAAAATTCACAAGAATAACACTATTCGATTTTTAAACTTCTGTTGTCTTGTTTAAAGACATCTTTATCGCACTAGGAATGGAAGTTAGAATTCATGGGCTGGCCACTGGATCGGATCCCAGTGGCCTTATGGTATACGAGCTAGCTGACCTTATAACCAGAAGGTCCTGCGTTCGAACCCTGGTGGTGGGTACATACCGATGAAGAGTCCTAAACTAGGGTAACAAAACAGCTATCCAGTACTCCCTGCAGGTTTTCCAGTGGTTCTCTAACTGATTTCAGCTCATAATGAAATCCTCTAAGCAATCAAACAAACAAAATCCCTACAAAACCAATACTTGAAAATAGAATACCACTTGATAGTTGCTAATGACAACACAGACGAATGATCATTGAATTCGCATTCTTGAAATGACCACTGAACAGCTTCTATTATTGCAAATGATCTTATCATTTTAATAGGTCGAGTAGTCCGTGGCAGGCGAAGATTGAATGAAGTCTACTGTTTTCTGTACACACAGTGTGTGATGCATGTGTGTAATCAAAAGTGTTTCTGTCACCTTTAATAACCTTGAATTAGAGTTATGCGAAATAATTGAGAAATAGTCACTAATATTGATTTCGTAACTACCGAGACTTTTTCCTTTAATCTTAAGGATGCAGGAATGGAAAATATTCGAGATGTAAGGAAAAGAAATGCATCGTAGAATGTACTGACCGAAGACTTTGACCTATCAAGTGTATGATTTGATCACCCTTGAATGGTAGTTTAATAAAGACACCTTACTTTGGTAGGAAAGCTGTATTTCCACAGGATAGTATCTCTTCTTACTGTCATACGATGACGTTTTTAATCAGGATAACCATTAGCCAGTAAAACTGAGTGCGTGCTCTGTAGCTCATCCATTAATGTATCGCTCGTACAATAATGATGCCTATTATTGTTATTATTTTCTTAAAAATTTAAGGGATGTGGTCCGGTCACAACTAACTGACTACACTATTCCAATTCAATGTATTGATTGTGCCAATAAAGAATTAATTCCATGGGGAACTCCTATGTCAAATTTGGCTTCGAAAACTTTATTAATTAAAAGTGAGTCAATGCAGTCTATTGATTTTCCTCAATTTATATATTTATATTTATATACATATATGTATATACTGAGGTAAGTGTTCGCTTTAGTATCCTGCAGAGAAGGTACAAGCTTGTGAAAGACTGAAATATTGATTTTTACTAAATTTAGTATACATATAAACTATGAATTTGTCTAAACTGCCTAAGAATGTCAGTGTGAAGTAATAATGACCTCCAGCCGTGTAAGTGCATTAGTGTGTGTAATTCAGTGAGTATGAGCTTTGAGTGCATGTGTGTGCACGTCTATCGATTAAATTATGGTGTGCCTTGGAAAAAGTGAAAAAAAGATCGAAACAGTTTTATACTTGATTATTCTTTGTTTCTTTCTGAGTTTGAGGTGCTAATAGTCTGCATTGAAAGGTGATGAAATACAGGAAGCCAGGTATTCACTATTTATGTAGGCTTAATTCAAAAAACAGACGATATGGCGTATAACGTCGAGCCAGCTAAATTTCACTACTGGGTTGTGGAAATCCAAATGATTTCGTCACCAACCGACATCACGTAGACACTTTTCTCATCCAGTTTACTGTTACTTCAGTATTATACCCTAGAACATAACGAATACGTAGTGTATCCAACCAATGGGATGAAATTCAATGATTCATGAATTCCACCTATCGTCGCCTTGCAATATAGGTGGTCCCACTGTTAGCGAGTGTCATCGGAGTTTAGCTGCCCTCACACCTAGTAGTCAGAACTTCTCTTTTATACCCCAGTGATGTTCATCCGGTTTCGGTCACTTATTATGAGTACTACATCGACTTTTAAGTTCCGGTTTGTGGGGATTTGATGTTTTTCCTAAACCTTAGTCACTTATTTTTAATTGATATTGGCTAGCTTTGTTACCTGAAGGTCATAGGTTGAATCTCTGGAGAGCTCATGTCGGAGCATTGCTGAAGAGTCTGCAAGAGGGCGAGACAATCGTATTAGGCTTGCCCGAAACGAAGACGGTATAGGTCCATTTCCTGACTAACGTACTCACAAAGTGTTGATGAGTTCTTATAGTGTGCCTGGAAAAGAAAGTGTGTGTGTGGGATTAGCAATCCTATCCCGAGAAAACGCAACCAGAGCTGCTAATTCATCATAAGCGGCTTGATTTCTAGTGTTCTACTGGGAGCACGAGGCATTAAATAAAGTTCATATGTGACCAACAACAGAATGTTGTTGTTTCTGGCGTCATATATACTAGAGAAGCAGATACACTCTTTTATCTAAGTTCTATCACCCTAAAAACTTTTATTTCCTTCGCGCATAATCTTTTCTGGATACCATTCTCGGAGCCACGTCAAACTCTTCCCTCTTCATTAGGGGGCCTGAACAACGCTGGAAAATATGCTGTTGTTTGTTGTGTTAAGTTCTGACTTCAAAGCAATAAATATCTATTTTGCTTTACTGATCTTGACACTGACAGCCTCCCTTGACATACCAATTAGCTTGAATGTCATAGAAATTTCATGACCAGTTTTACTTCTCCCTCGGACGACACAGGTTTAAACTTCAGTGTGGAAATGTAATTCGCATTTCAGCTTCAAACAGGTCTTTGCGATATGTACTAACAATATTACCACCTACTTTTTCAAAGGTTTTAGACTAAATGAACCTGTGAAAATAAGTATTACCTATTTCTTAATATTGTGACCTACTCTCAGACTTGAATTATCGATTTTTATTGTTACTGGACGGCTCTTTCGTCCTACCGTTTGTGAATCTTCAACAGCACGCACTGACGGTCCCACCGGGGATCGAACTTACGACCATTACACTACGAAGTCAAGCTCATTGACCATTATTCACTCACCTTAACTGGGATTCAATAATCCGTGAGTCCTAATTTCTGTCAACTTGCAGCATAGCGCTAGCCTGAATTAAAGCCTTCGATGAGTGTCCAGTTCACCAGTGAGTTGGTAGGACTGCCCTCCCAGTGTCTGAGTAAAAATGACACTGACTACTGACATCCTAGATTCGTGATTTAGGAATAAAGATGAATTATTCTCTCAGAAAATAAAATAAACAGATTTTAGAAAGCCATAGTTGCAGCCTGTCAAAGTTTTTTTCACTTAAGACACCTATGTGTTGATAGTCGGGATTGATTTTTGACAGTATATAAGCTATTCGGTATTTCGTTTATTTCTCCAATTTCTACTCTTGATCGACACAAAGAAAAATTTAAGAAATTCTTGTCATATTTTCCACTCTTCCAAAAATATTACACATTATTTTCTGTAATAAAAATAGGCGACACACGCATATGTGCATGTGTGTGTCCATGTGACAATGCGTAGGAGTATTACAACTAAGATGCCGTAGGCTTATCCAATCATCTTTGAGTACACAATAACAAGGTCAAACGGACTGTAGCTACTATCTAATTCACTAACTGACTAGCTATGACTGGCTGCTTAGCTTAGTTCTATTTTTTTTTCGGAGAAAAACTTTTCAAGTTTGCAGATGAGAGTAGTAACAGTCACACTTTATCAGTTTTGAAAAGTGAATTCTCTCAGCTGGAAATAATGTCATAATAAATCAGACTTTTTAAAACAACAATTAAACACATTACACGCATACTTTAAACATAAGCACAAACAAACATACACTAAGAGGATCCAGTATAATTAGTCTGTTGAACAAATAATACCCACAAGCATTCATAGACGCACATACGGACAATGAGTTTGGGTCAGATATTTCGATCACTCGCTCGAACTGAATCGGAGGATATAATGGAGAATTTACGACTACCAAGAAGTCTGTCAGCACACGATCGTGCACTGGTTTATCAGACAACTCCGAAAGACTTCAAACCATTTGAATGCACCAGTACTATTAAGGATCCATATTGTCAGCGTTCAGGATTTTCAAAACGAAGTCGTAAAGTACGCAGGAGTATACTTGGTAAGATGTAAACTCTGTTTCCTTACTTCTTTTTTCTATTTTACTAAAATTCTGGGTTTCCGCCGCATGTTTAACGTTAAAGAATTGCTTGAAAAAGTCTTTCGAATCAGATAACTTTTCCAAACTTTACTAGGGGGAAAACACAGAGTGTTTCATTAGATTCAGATTCAAATGACATCCTGTGTAAATCCTTGTAGTAGATTTCTGATTTCTCTGTGAACGTGTTCACCGATAAATCCAGTATTATTCGCTGGGGTAAAGAGCTCCAGTTGTAGACCACTTTTTGTGAGAATCCATATTCCACACATGTTTCATTCGACAGAGGTTTGAACATCTTTTAGTAATGACCTCTAAAAGATATCCTAGTCGTGTTTCGTCTTTTGGTATGATAAAAAGAAGAGGTTTAGATGTTCAGCTGATTAATTTAGTTACAACCTTAGGTATTTTTTAAAGACTTGTGCATCCTTCTTGGAGCATGGACTAGCTGCATGTATACAATATTCTGGATGAGGCTAAACATATGCTGAGTAGAATACTCTAGACATAGAAACATTTAATTGTTTGAAAGGCCTTTAAAGTGTCCACACCATTAGAAAAACCTTAGCTGCAGCTGCATCACAGCTTTCAATCGTTTTCAAATCAAAACTGAAAGTGATTTAAGGATAAAACTTAAGTCCATTATAGATAAGATTTTATTTTGACAAATCACACAGTGTTACACAGCAATATTAACTGATGACGTTTCGAGCACAAATTATTGCTCATAACCATATCAAGTCACTCACGCATCTTTTTGCTTCATTTATGTACATGAGTAAAATTGATTGGACATTTGAATAAAATAAGATTAAGTACATTCAGAAATAATAACATTAGTGTTATCAGTCAAATACAGTCAGATGGGAAATAAGATGTTTTTTACAGTAAAAATAAGTAACTTTTTATAATGTTATAATGTGAATTGCAATACATTTTAACATTATTTATAATCCTCTGAAATGACTGGTAATAATACCTTCCGTATCTCTGGTACTTGCGTTGAGTCATTTCTGTTGCATGTGTTGGGTGTAGAATCGATGAACCAGGATTCAGTAATCAATCTCTCTCTCCACCTACCTATATTACCTTCTAGAATTTTAACACTCTCTCACCCTATTGTGTTAATACATGCAGTGCGACTTTTCTAAATTACTTATCTTCATTGGATCAATCATTCTAACCCTAGCTAAATTCTGATGTTCCGATAATCTCATTACCACCGATCTACTGGTTTGACCAATGCAGTTGACCTAACTCACAATTATTGCAAAGTATTTCGGTAAATTATATTATTATGACGTTGAATTATCGAATTCTAGTGTAATAGTTTTGTCGCTGATGCATGCCGAAGTCCGACATATAAAAAGAGCCTGCACTGAACTTGTTTTTTGAATGCATCACTTTTATATGAGCTATTAATACAAGAAAGAAAGGCTTTTTAAAGTGATCGCATATCTCCTCTTCTTATTTTTCTTCTTGTTCTTCTTCAGTGGAACAGACGAAGATCTTGAAGCCAAATATTGGTATTAGTATTAGTAGTAGGCGTAGTCGTAGAAGGGTAAACGAAGATCCTCTGACGTCATGCAAGTAGGCTTTCTGGACACATGTGACATGATGATAATATGTGTATTGTATAAATGCATTCGTTTTTAAAATGCTTAGACAGAAATAAAAAGGCGATCGGGCATATCATTAAGTGTTTGTGTTTCCGTGTTTCCATGCTTGTGTGCGTATGTCTTTTACGCATAATTTAAAATGTCTGTGATGTTTAATTACTATTGACTTTGATGCTGTTTGAAGTTCTACAGGTTAATGTCTTTCTGTTGTTTTTTTTCTCCGAACATTATTTCTCCCTCATATTGTTTTTCTGTTAATCTTTGCTAGACAGTCAGAAAAGAGGAAACCATTTATTTTCTTCTTTAAAGCTAAGCTAAATATGGAAAGCTGTAGAAAATATTTTAATTTAATTTTTGAAAAAGGGCTGTCGTAGATTTGTGGTAGGTATAAGTCATATGACTTAAATT